TAGTTATGAAGATGTCTGTCAGATGGCCTAGCAGAGAAAAACAAATGTCAGAAGAAGATTGTGTAAAGGACAAAGTCCCCATAATTCATAAAGTTCAAGTAAAGTCAATTCGCCGACTTACACGAACCTCTTCATCGCATAGTTCAACTAGAAATGAAATTCAGTTTAATTAGCACCAAGTGGTTAGGTTAGCAATCTAGAAATGTGTGTCAAAGTAGTTACCAGAATGGCACCAAGTTTCGACGACGTCTATCATGTGGCAAGAATGAGCATACTTCTTTCGGGACCAGACATAAGTGACGATGAGTATGGCTTGAAGATAGCCATGGAGTACATTAGGAGTTAGAATAAACCCTTGTGCAAAGAACGGGGACTAAAGCAGTTCAACCCAAAGCATTGTTCTAGTCAAGACGGCCATTCAATTTCAAAGAGACTAAAACCAACACCAAAAGAGACCTGGAAGGCCTCAAACCAATACAGGTTTTGGACTTGGTCAGACAAGAGGACAACAAAAGCTGGTGTCTGGCCACGAGATCCGCCGAGCACATTTGGTCCGATGCCTGCCCATCCAAAGCCAAATGCACTTCCAAACCCGATCAGAGTGGACGCCAGCACGGGGCTCAAGCCTACAACCTTCGTAGCCAAGGGTCGAAATAATGACCCCCATCACCCGAGGGGGCGCCCGCGGTTGACAGCAAGCATCGGTTTCGACGGGCTTCGTCCAAGTGACGCGACCACTGCTTCCAATTTGCTCGTCTCCCCAACGGACCACTGCGATTCTGCACTTTGCGCGCCAGCAGAGTCCCGCTATGCCGTCTTCAACATCGGTTTCAACATTTCCACAGCATCAGCCAGTCCTATCAACCCACAACCTGACCCTAACGAGCTCCCTCTTGGTAGGGCCAGTCTCCCTTCTTACTCATCAACCCATACCAATCTCAAAATGCTTACACACTAACATGCATGGACGTCAGACAGCCAAGCCCATCGTATCCTTGATCTTCTATCTTGGCCGGCCGAGGTGTACTCGAGGAATTGGTTGCGACCCTACACACAATAAGCATCGGAATTCAAGACTGGCCCCTACCGACGCCTTCAACCTCGACCTCGTCTAACCGTAGCAACAGCCTCCCGACGGGGGTCGAACCGCGAATGTGCAGATTCAGAGACAAGAACGACGTATTAGTCCGTCTCCTACGTGCACACATAAACGCCACAGCAAAGACGCTTTACAACTGAACTGGCCTCGATCACCTGCCCGATCGAAAGCCCACGGTTCGAGTCCCGTTTTTGCTGCTGGCGAGACGATGCCGACTGCCGAGTGGACCGTCACGACGATCCAGCACCTGCTGGGCACATTCTCAATCGGTCGCGCCACTCACGGCCGCCACAATGGCACATCAAACGAGGAAAAGTGGGGTTTCGAGGAATCTCTTGTTTCATCATTGTTGCGCTTACTTCCATTTCGAGTAAGAGTGTTGCGTGAAGAGATTCGAAGGTCGGTTCCACCAGAAGACGACGACGGATGCCTCTTGCTGACGCTGTTTCCGAGGCAATCTCCTTCGATTCCGGTGAAAAGGTGCTAAGCTTTCGTCCGTCATTTGACGGACATAATCGTCACAACCAAATTCAAGCTAACGAGTCAAGAGAACTCATGAGCAAATCCCTAAAAAGTGGTATATATACTCTACATCTGGCGAACACAAACATGCACAAACAAATACAGAGGCAGACACACTCACATGCATAGAAGTTGACATATGACCTAAACTAACCAAATCACCTTATACTCGATCAAAGAAACCAGATGTAGAGTATAGATACCACTTTTTAGGGATTTGCCGGTGAGTTTTCTTGATTCGTCAGCTTGAATTTGGTTGTAACGATGATAGCTTGCTCTAAAGATGTTCGGTCTTCTGGTGGAACCGACCTTCGAATCTCTTCACGCAACACTTTCACTCGAAACGGAAGTAAGCTCAACAAGATCAAACGAGAACTACCAAACACGATGTAGCCTGGCGGTGGGCTGCAGCGGTAACTGGTAGCGCATGCCACAGTTGAAGGGAGGGTCTTCCAGCTGGCCTCCGGCAGTGACGAGAGAGATCGTGGCGAGACACACACCCGAACACTCCACTTGGCAGAACAAGGAAAAGGGACAATTCAAGCAAAAAAAGAGGGGCCCAGGAGGCGCATGGACACCGTCAGTGATGCAAGGGGTCGGCTGTTAAGTAACATAATCATCAAGCGGTCCGAGACTGGGAATTATGACAACCACTCTAGCAAGTCGTCGTGACAACAGAACCGAATCGCGAAGACGAGGTCAACCCCCACAAGTTGGCACAAAAGAAAATGCAAGCAATGCATTGGCAGAAGGAGAGATAGACAGACTTTACTCAGAGGTAAGGTGACCAGACGGACAGCTTGACACACAAACATGTCTCCAGGGGGTAACATAATGCGTTAAATTTACCTTAGAACTGCAGGTGTTGTGTACCCGTCTATGAATCCGGGGAAGACCGGTCTGGGATCGAAATCAACAGACCCCTTGCAAGGCCATTTGATCATAACGCCGGGCTGGCTAAAGGCCAATTGGCCGTTCTCCTTGTTCGAGCGCAGGTACTGCGCCAGACGACCCTGTCTGGCCATCTGCCCCCGGGCCCAGCTCGGTGCCACACCGAAGCGGAGATGCAGCCGGCCGGAGAAAGAGGATTCCAGGCACGAGTCTGCTGGAAAGCGCCTCCGCTTCAGACTCCGTTTCGCCTCTTGCGGTTGCTCATGCGTCAGCTGATCGTGCTGGACGTCTGGAGACTGGCAGTCCGCCTCGAGGTCGTCTCTCGCGGCGGGCGGTGCCGACTGCCGCACGACGACCGGGCCCGCGGAATGCGCCGATGTTACAGACATCCTCGGCTCCACACCCTCGTCGATACGACCCGATTTGTCGTCCGTCTTCTCGCCACCACCTTCTCGCCCTCGTACAACTTCGTAACCCTCCTCCTCCGCCTTGTCCTCCTCTTCTTGAGTCTCGTTTAGCTCCTCTTCGTCCTCTTCGTCTTGCACGCCAGCCTGCGGAGACACGTAAGGACTGAGCGGTCTGAAAGCCGCCAGCAGGTCGAGTCCGGCGAGCACTGACTCTGACTGGGCCCTTTTCGACGAGTCGGCTGCATCGGCCGCCTCGTCCGGACTCGAGGCCGTCCAATCGCACAGCCCCTCCGCAGCATTCGCCACCGCAGCCGGTTGGCCTGACTCACGATTGCAGCCGGCACCGTCGGCGGGAGAAGTCTCGCCGAGGCGGGCCGATATCAGCAGCGTCTTCACTCGGTTCAGGCACTCCTGATCCTCGGCGTAGTAATTGTTGCCGCACTGCAGTTCTGTGAAGAGCAGACAAAAGGACGGTGATGATTGGAATTTGGAGAAAAAAGATTAAAAGATTAAAAATCATCAAAATCATTAGTTCTAACTACTTGCGTGGACATATACTCACGCGAAAACGCAATTTATTCGGGACCACTCATATATAATGTCGTATATATATACATATAAATAAATAAATAAATATATATATATATATAAGTATATATATGTAAATAAGTCAGCACAAGTTCATAATGGAGTTATAAAATAAAAATGGCGTCCTGCTTTCGTACGTTCTGGTTGTTATGAAAGGTGGTGAAATGAATAATTGAATTTTCCCATAAAGATTTGAATGCATATTTGCATGCACAGAGCGAAAGTGGGCTTCAATGAAGCCTCTGACGAGGAATGGCATTCTGGTGAAATGTGAAGAAAAATGCTCACCACAACTTATGAATAGGGATGACTACCTAACGGGGAAAAGGAGGCCGATTTGACAAAACCGTTTGCTTACAATAGAGTGGACAGGAATCGCGGACAAGGGGTGCAGAGGCGTCGTGTGAAAAATGGGATGCGAGGATGATGGTGCGTAAATGTTGGCGCCGAGACTTGGGGAAAGGGAGAAGGAAAGGAAAAAAGAATGGCGGAGAAGGGGATGATGAGTTGGCAGTTGTGGCCTTTTGAAAGGCTTGCGTGATTTGAACGCAAGCTTCTGATTGGTTCAAAAGGTCCTGATCTGATAGGTCCAAAGGTAGGCTCGATGCTCCAGTCAGACTTGATTGGTCGGCACGAACAAAGAGTTCGGATGAGTGATAGTCACAAGGGGTGTTTGTCTTAAATGACGATGATAAAGCTTAGATCACCATGAGTTCATAATTTCAAATTACGTACGTACGTTTTGTTTATTACCAAAGGTGATTAATTGAGTAATTGAATTTTCCCATAAACATTTGAGTAGGCCTCATGCTTCCAAAGCGATATTATCCTCCACGATGGACTGCGGATTCGGCCTCGGCTGCCAGCTATAAGAAGCCAACATTGATAGGCTCTACTCCGAAACTCCTTTAAGCCATAATTAAAATAATGAAGTTGGTATTTTGCACTCATTTGTGATTAATGATGTTGGGCTGGCGGATAGATTTGGGATGGAGGGTCGGCCAGAAAAGCTGAAACGGCTTAATTGAAAATGATACATTTTCAGATTGCCCCGAGACCTAAGACCCATTATCGTGCCGTTACGCATTTTCTCGAGGAAGCTGGGGAGGCTGGAAGGAGAATGGGGGATAAAAACGGTTTTCAATGAAACCATGATGCTTTCTTCCATTATATTCCCATTTAGAGGGAAATTTGACACATTATATGGGGACGGCGCTCACAAGATTGTGTGATTGTGTGCTTGTGTGGCAGTCCTCATATTGGTGAGACTGTTCGGCCTATTCGCCAGAGGG